AAATGGCCGCGACCATCGTCAAGCTGTACACCGGCGACGCCCAAGACATCCCCCAAGGCCATGATCCCCATGCAGCGCATGGGCGACGAGCAGGACATGGCCGGTGTGCTGCTGTTCCTGGCATCCCGCGCCGGCGCGTACTGCAAACGGTGCCGTGATCAAGGTCGACGGCGGCCGGCTCGAAAACTTCCCATCCACATGGTGCGCGTAGGTCGATCGAGAAAAAAAAAGAAAAAGGTAAGCATGGCACGGCGGAATAAGAAAACGAGCAGGGGGGGCCCGCACAGCAGCAACAAAGGGAGTGGCATGAACTGGAAGAAAAACAAGAATTCCATAGATTTTGAAGAAAGAAAAAGAGTGCCCTAGTGCGAGCGGTCCTTGGTGGCCCCTCGCGCCATCTCCATAAACTCGTCCTTGGACACCCACCCCTTGCCGCTGATGTCGAGCGTGTCAATCATCTTCCGCAGATCCTGGTCCGTCATCATATTGTTGACCTCGGCGCAGACTGTCCTCAGCGACTCGACGTGATGCGACCCGTGTCGCGCGGGTCGAAGAGCCGCCACGCCGGCCTCGGCCTCCTCGTCCGGGTCCCGCCTCGTGATGAGCCAGGCGGCAATGGCTTCAAAGGTGTCTCGCGTGATGCGAAGCCGCACGGGCGGACAGGCGTTGCTGCTGCCGCCGCCAGAGGCAGAGGCGTGGGGGTCGAAATCCTGGGGCGGCGAGCCGTGGGCGCAGAGAAGCGTGTACGTCTCGGAGCGCGGCAGCTGGAGGCCGAGGGCGTTGAGGGCGATGGGCCACTCGCGGGCGGAGAGGGAGCCTGTGTCTTGCGTGTCGATGAGGTTGAACGACTCGTTGATGTTGGCGCGCCAGTCTTGGTCGAGGCGCTGGAAGTCCTGGCGGCCCTGGTGGATGTCGAAATTCACTGCGGAGGGAGGCATGGTGACGAAGTGTGTGGGGTAGAGAAGGCCCAAGGCTGCTGCCTCTAGCTAGAGGAGTCCGGCGAGAGGCTCGACGCGGAGCCGGAATCAAGATGAGAGTTGAGCTGGAGGCATGTCAGTGGCTTATCATGGGGAGGGCTCGGCCGTGCTCAATATCATGTGAAAAACGACATGTCTGAGAGGTAGGGGGGGAGGCAGGAAGGGTAGGCGATGAAGAATGAAGGAATAGGACAAAGATGTGAACAGCTTCATGAGGATCCAGGGTTTCTCATTCGCAAGAGACGTGGTATGTATCGACAAGTCCAAGCAAGGGCTCACGTCCGGCGCTGTGCCATCCAGTTCAACCGCAGACCACAACCCCGCCTCCGAGATAGGGCAATGAAGAGAGAAGAAGGCCATGCATACTCACAGCACCTTCGATGGAGACTATTCAGATGAAGAAGCGCAGTCATGCAACGTCGTAGCTAGGCGGTGTCGCCCGTCGTCAAATTGTGGAGTTCGCGCCAGAAGACTATGGCAAGCATGCGTGGAAGCAACGGAATCGAGGTCGGGCAATGCAATGGGTGTCGTGACTATCGTGAGCGAAACAGAAAAACAGACCGTCATGCGGTTGTGGGATTGAAGGTCTAGAGTGCTTGCGATGCTGTCCAGAGGTTCCTCTTCCTGTTCCTGGCATGAGAGCGCGTCGATGGTTGACAGTTTGATCGCGACGCGACAGCCAATCAAGAGGGTGGGGCAGGACGAGGGTGGGGTCCCTTCCATTTCGAGCTTCGAGCTGTCACTTTCGTCAGTTCGTCAGAGCTTCAAGCCGCATCCTCCTCCTCCTCATCAAATAAGGAATGCCATTTCATCTTTCTTCGCTTATTGTCACAAGTGTACTCTTCATCTATCCTGCCAGATCCACTACGAACCTCATACCAGCCACACATGCTCACAAACCATGAGACCAACACTGCCACGGCTCTGCAGCCTTCTATTCGC